GTACCTACCGCAATTAAACAAAAGGTGATAGAACCTTCACTTAGGCTTAAATTAAGGCTTGGACTTCTGACTTCATTCTCTGAAAATACCATTCCTGCACCTTGACCCTAAGGTCACCTATAGTCATTTATTGAACAGCTAACACTGATTTTTACACCGTTTTTTTTAATTGCATAATTTTCCCGTATTTATTTTTATTGTTGAGCGATAAAAAGTAAATAAGTATAGGTGACCATCAGGGCAAGGTGCAGGAATAGTACATTCAGGGATAGTAGTCTGTAGTTCTAGCTTTAATTTAAACCTAAGTGGAAGGTTCTATACCCTTTTGTTTCATTGCTAGAGCTTCTTAAATATTGCAAAAAACGCGATTTTTTGACAGTCTAGAGCTGATGGAAACTTTATACTTACGGATCTATCTATCTATTATTATTATTAATAATATCCCGAAATATCCAGGGATCCCGGGATTACCAATTTAAGATCCCGAAATCCCGGGATTCACAAAATGGTCCGGGATTGGATGCCCTACTCAAAACATCTCGAACTAGCTTATGGAACATGGCAACTTTATTTGTACCTGCATGCAAGCAATTTTTATAATAAAACAAGTAAGAGCAGCGCTGTCTTCGGCGATGCCGAAGGCTTCATACCTTTCATGAACATCTTCAAATTTTACTTTGACAGATTACTGCTTTTGAATACATCTGCATACATCGATAGAGGAGTTACATACTTATATAAAAAATCGCATCTAAACAATCAGAGGTATGGAAGATATACTTTATATGGCACCAATCTAAGTGATTTTCACTGCTATGTGATCGGTATGTAAACCGGTAACACAATTTATTGGGTTTAGTTTCCTACATAAAGGAGATTTATCGCAAAAACTGGTATCAGTGGTACAATAAGTATCACTCCTAGTATCATATCTCCTATGGCTTATACAGCATAGATTTTGACGATTTCCTCAGTAGACTTTGTATTATTATTTATAAAATATCTTACGAAATTTATCGGTTTTAGCTGTTCAAATAAAGGAGTTTTACAGTAAAATCCCATATCTGAACAATCAGATGTATGGAAGATATATGTTGTAGTCATCCGATCCTTGTTATTTTCACTGTAAGTATTCTGTTAATAATGAGTGAAAATGGTGCGAAATTTCATGTTCCTAGCTGCATAAATGGAGGAGTTATGATAAAAGACCTCATATCTGAACAATCAGTTGTATGGGGGCTGCAGGTTATAGTGACCCGATCTTTGTTATTTTCACTGTAAGTCTTCTGTTGATAATGAGTGAAAACAGCGCGAAATTTCATGGTCCTAGCTACATAAATGGATGAATTATAACGAAAAATCTCATATCTGAACAATCAGTTGTATGGGAGCTATATGTTATAGTGGTCCGATTCTTCCGGTTCCGACAAATGATTAATACATTATAAAAATACACCCACCTACCAAATTTGATCCGGATATCTCGAAAACTGAGAGACTAGATTGCATACAGACAGACAGACAGACGGACAGACGGACAGACGGACATGGCTAAATCAACTCAGCTCGACGTTCTGATCATATAAGTATACATTTTAATGGGTCTATCTCTTTTTGTTCTGGTACTTACAAACATCGGACCAAAGTTATAATACCATTTCATGCTCATGAAAGGTACAAAATGGAATCATTGCAAATAATACATACACTGCCGGAACAAAAAATATAAAAATAAAATTCCAAACACTTTCCCGGGAAACGAATTATATTCGGCTATTTACATGAACACAATCGGCTTCTTACACGTATGCAATCCGAACGTCAACAGAAAGAGTAGAAGATCAACAAATTTTATTTAGCTGCATGCAAATATTAGACGAAGCCGGCTGATATCGCATTATTGTCTAATAAAATAGGTACACTGAATAAATTATGTATGTAATTAAGTGAATTATATCATTTTTTTTAACAACAGACTAGTCGTCAATTGAAACTTGCAATCTGTTTGGTTATTTATATTTTGGTGAAATCTTTATTTTTAATTGTTCTTAAATATCAATATGGGCAAATCCAAAAAATAGGTACACTCTCGAAAAAAAAATTAATTTTTAAATTTGAGAGCATCATTCGTACTCTCTTAATAAATCGATTAATATAAGTGTGATTCCTTTTCATCAAGTGCTTCAAAAGTTAGACGAGACAAGTTAGTCGGCACAAAAAAGCTTATCAAAAACAGCTTTAACATTTGCCGCAGCAAAATCCGGTGTTGCCTTGTGTTACCTATTATATAAAGGGAGGCTCATTCTTTCTCGCGAACGGCTGCACCGATTTTTTGAAATTTTGGACACCTACTGCAGACTTTCAATATATTAAGGAATCGTGGCATCACCCTTATATATAGAATTTTTCATATCGTATATCTCTGGAAGTATTTGTGGTAGTGTCCTGGAAACTGGTATAGAGATTTTGGGGCTACTAGAAAAGGGGGCGTGGCGCTTTCCAAACATATTGAAACTTTTACCTATCTATAAATATACAGCGTGGCGACGAATAATTGTTACCCCGTTTTTTTTGAGAAATAAAAGGCTCCTTTATAGGTTTTGCGAAAAAAGTGTTTTATTGTTAATTTTCCACAGATTTTACTTTAGTTGTAATTAATTGTAGTTTTTAAATTTTAATCCTTATTTACATTTGCCAGCAGTGTAAACTTTAAGAGAAAAGTTCATTTATAATTTAATGTACTACTAAATTGATGCCCTAAGTCATTAGCGCACACAAGGGGTGGGTTTTGGAGTTCAAACCCCCCCTAAATCTAATAACCTGAAATGCAGCTCTCAAGAAAAATAACAAGAAATATTTTTTATTAAAAAGCACTTTGCTTTTGCAGTAAATTTTCTTGAAGAAATAAACATCCGAGCATTTTTTTCTTGAGAGATGCACACTGATTTAAGAAATTTTGATAGAAGAAAATTTCTATTCCATTTCTTCTGCGTCATTTTATATGACTTTTTCGTTTTTCGTGAGAGCTCTTAAAAGTTTAACTGCGAATGAAACCATTGCCCTAAAAATAGGCAATGCATACTCACATACTTTTGTTTTTTACACCTTACAGCCTAAAAGAGTTTACCACTGATATGTACTTAACAAGGATTCGAAGATTTAATTTACCAAATTCGAATTCGTTCCACCAAAATTACCTACATAATAAAAATGAAAGTTCATTTAAATTTTCCGGTAACTATTCGAAATATTAAAAAAATTAGGCAATCATGAAAAATCACCATATCAATCGAAAACCAGAAACCAGAAATCGAGGAAAATGAACATTAAAACTATTTTTTAAATTTTTTTATTACTTTTGAAAGTTGAGCGCATCTTGTGTTTATAGAACTTTATATTAAACAAGTAATTTTCAAATTACGGGACGACCCTTGAGGTACCATCTTTCCGATTAAAAAAAAGGTTCACGTGGTTCAAAGTTATGCGGTAGCATACATTAAAAAGAAAAAAATATTGCGACGAACTGAAAACCTCTCCCTTTTTCGAAGTCGGTTACAAATGTTTGAGTTCTTTGCTAATTTTATGTAAATAAAGTGCAATTTATGAAAAAACTTGCATAAATGTACCTTAAAGAGCATATTATCTGAAGCGAATTTTCAGAAGTATAAACCACTCCCAAAATATATTCCTGGGTGCGCCACTGCCATAAGTAGAAATAAGCAATAAAATTATTGTTCTCATACTACAATCTCAAATATCGCCAAAAACCGTGTTTTTGTGGCCAGATTTGGATTCAGCACCAAAATATCTATAAAAACGATGTGTTTCACTTAGGTGGTAAAATTTTGTTGAACTATGTTAAAAATGAACTTTCAGGTCTCAGGGGGCAGTGGAATCGCCGCCATCTTGGAAAGAAGGGTGCGGAAGTTTTTCGTCATTTACATCAATGCGGTTCATCCATATCCAGAATACTTTTTTGTTGGCCGAAAACAATATAAATTTTGTATTAAAGATTTTTTCTCGCGTCATTATTTGGCATGTTAATAAAAAATTAGTGCTAAGATTTTTTTTACTTTTCGACAATGGATTGTCCTAAAACCCTTAATTGAATGAAAATAATACCCTTCTAATCTATGGGTTTAAAAGTTCTACGAAAATATTTCTCATGAAATTTTATTATAATAACCTTTAATTTCGCCAGGCATCTATTTTAATAATTTTTTCAACTTTTTTTAAAAGTACTTAGGCCGGGACATGAAAACTTTAGTAGGCCATAAAATAAAAATACGAACTAACTTTTACAAATCCATAGAGTGTTTGACTACTGGATGGGTTTACTTTCAGAAAATGTAGACAAAGTCCGGGCTGGTTTCGGCTGTCGCACAGTGTTATCAAACATATTTTATTCTATCGCAGAAGGGTCACCCTAACCAACAAACATAATTATTACGGTACTAAACTTCATGCTGTATGCTTTAGCTTTGCAGCAAGGCGATAAAGAAATGCATTGCTGATAAATACTTGGCGCACAGAATAAAGTCTTGCGCCGCTCCCGGTGGGAGTGCACCATTGCCGTCCGCGGTAGTAAGAGCACAAGTTGTATGAACCAATATATTTGTGCCCATAAACATAACTAACACATGCATATTAAGGAGTTTGCAGACGAAAAGGCAAATCAACGCAGGTTAAGATCTTAGGAATTGCACCAGCAGCACTGGCGTCGTAGTTATTGGCATCGTATTTGCCTTCATGGTCGGCACCGACAATCAGAACGAAAGGGCACCGATTTGCTCCAAAAAAGTGGGCGTGTGACATTGCGGTTCATATCGCTTAATGATCTTTGCTTATGCTTATACAAAAATGAACAGAACAAACGCTAATACAAAAACAAAAACAAATAATTGATAAGCTCTTAATGGCTATTAAGCTGAAGTTACCGAAAATCGGAATGCACCAAGAAAAATTTGGTTGCAGCTTTGTTGAATGTACTCGTAATAAACATTAAAATAATACTATTATGAACAGGGAACGGATTTTATGGAAATTGCCTTTTTTTCTGCTAAAGAGATAGAGTATATTCGATTAAGAATGTCCACGATTTAGCTTTCCCTGATTCCATATATACACATTTGATGTTGCCTTTTTTTGCCTTTTTTAAGATATTTGCCTTTTTTTTTGCCTTTTCTACCTTTAAAAAAGTGATTATAGCATTTATAATTTTTGTTAAGATTAAAAAATATACACATGCCCATGCGGCTCATAGAAGCGCAGGGACCTCTTACCAAATTGGTGTTGGAAAAATTCAAAGCCGTTTTCTCAGCTAACGTAGGCTTGGAGACAATAAGGGGTGTGGATAAAATTGTAAAGGGCGAGGAAAACGCCCTTATTCCTGATAATATGAACGTTTCAAACGTTCCATATTTAAATTGGGCTCCACTTGTATCAACTTACGTCGAGCGCACATTGAGTACATTCAAGGCTTTTCTTCGCGAAAATCGAATGAAAATGCTGCCAGAAAACTTCAAAATGCATCTTGTGGTTCAATGTTACTACAACTATACAGATTAAAATTCTATGAGTTAGAAACTCGAAAGGATAAAATAAGCAAAGATTCAAAGTAAAAATTTTTCATATAATGAAACTAGTTCATAGCTTTTCTCTTTTTACTTGTAATATGAACTTTTCTAAAATAAATGTATTTTTTGATCGTATTTACTGTCTTTTTTTAGTGCCTAATTTTGCTTCTTTTGCAATACCTAGTGCCTTTTCCTGCCTTTTTCGCTATTTTGTTTTGCCTTTTCCAACCTATTTCGTTATTTTATTTCGACTTTTTTATAGGTTTTTAGGTCCTAAAAATCCGTTCCCGGATTATGAATATGTACTTACTTACAATTGTATGCATTGATTAAGTAAATAAAACAGAATGCTTGTTTATGCATATAGGCGATTATTAAAATGAAATTTTTTCAACATGGGTTTGAAATGATTTAATTTCAAGTTTTAATTTAATTTAATTTTCTTATAAAAAACCTCCCTTTCCACTCCCTTTGCTAAAAACTTCTCTAATTGGATGGATAAAGCCAAATATAATTTTTCTTCTTATTTTTTCCTATCTAATATTTGATGTAAAGTATTAAGTGTGGGTTAAGCAAGCATAAAATCGAAACTTTTAAAGCCAAAATTGGTTTCAGAAAGATCTGAACTTTTATTTACACTGTTATAAATATAAGTATATTATTGTGATGTATCCATTATTACACAAGTATATACATAAATACATATCGTCACCTGTAGTGCGATTCCCATTTTTCTTAACGACAATATTCGTATCGTTAGCTAACGATTCCGACAAGTTTCGTTAACTGCAATTCTCAAGCACACATTTAGCGAATATTGTCGGTAGCTTTGACAGTTGTCTAACGAAATTTATCGATGGCCTAGCTACGAATATTTTGTCGTTGAAAAGCCTAACGATAAAATTGGTTTAAGTTTTTATTGAGAAAAAATAGGCAAAATTCATCGGTAAGCAAATTATTATAATAAAAAATAACTAATAAATAAACATTTATCACATATAGATGTGCTTATTATTATTATTCTTTTTATTTATTACACTGTGCAAGTTGAAAACTTAGGCAAAGGTTTTGATAGTAGATCTCACTTAATTGGGGCATTCTAAAAGTATGTTCACACATATATATTATCTCAATCAAAGCTTGTTTTTTAATCAATCCGTTTACACCGGCAAATCTCAGATTATTAGCCGTCAAATTTGTTGTGCTTGTTATTCTCACATCTCAAGGAAAAGTAATGTTTCTTCTCTGTGCCACCGTGATAATGTTTTTATGCTATAATAAGCAATATAAATATATTTAAACTTAACATTTTATTAAAAATACCTTTACAAACCTCTTTTCCTTGCTAGCGTCGATTTTTGTTTACTTTTACATTTGGCATTTCTCCTCTTTTTTGCAAAAATAATCGATAAAACTAGGATGGACACCGAAAAGTTATCGGTTTAATCTGAGATTATTTTATAATTACAGATTAACAAGGGACGAATTTTATATGGCTAATCTCTTGTTATAATTACAGATTAGGATGTTAAGCTCGAAAATTAGGATAATCTACTTATATGTGAACCTAGTGTAAGTTCAATGGCGTTTTGTCAGATTGGCTCCAATTAATTTAATTTTTAGTTTTTTACTTATATACGGCTAACACCATCTTATTAAATTCGTCTGGCACGAGGCCCTTAAGGAGCTACGCGACGCGACGCTGCGCGGCAAAATTGACGAACTAGGCAAAAATGTCGCGCCGCGTGGTGTCGCGCAGTTCCGGNAATAGTTTTTTACTTATATACGGCTAACACCATCTTATTAAATTCGTCTGGCACGAGGCCCTTAAGGAGCTACGCGACGCGACGCTGCGCGGCAAAGTTGACGAACTAGGCAAAAATGTCGCGCCGCGTGGTGTCGCGCAGTTCCGGTGCCGCATAGTGCGGTATACCTAGCGGAACGACATAACATTTCGTACTATATTTTTAACTTGAAGTAATTGGATTTCCAATTGTGAGTGAATATTCACATGCATTTCATTCAAGAAGAAAATTGTATGTAAAGAATATATTCAGCCCTATTCTGCATTTCGATTACGTTCCCGCATTCAGCTCCGCAAGAATCGAACTTAGGTATTCTGCGTTACGATCGAATCGAAAGAGGAAGAGGAAGAGAGAAAACATCTTTCGAAATCAGCTGATTGCCTAGGAATGTGTGAAATCGAAACAAAACAAAGAAAAATACCAAACCATAGCAGCTTATGAAGTTAAAGTTTGTAAATATTTTAAAATAACTAAATATATCTAGCGTCACTTTAATTTAAAAATAAAATTTCGTTTGCTCTTAATTTAGTGGAAACATAATTGTAAGAATGAAATCCCTAGCCGCGGCGTTATTGCTTGAAGAGGAGAACGCGTCCCAGATTGCTAATGCGGAAGTTGAAAGGCGGAGATTTAGGGACATGTTTGATCTTTTTCAGATGAGTGAAGAGTCATAAATTCATCATGAACTGTATTACTCACCGCTCAAAGCCAGTGAAATTATAAACGATGTTTGAGCATTCCACAACATTTGCATCTACTACAGAGTGGAAGATTTGAACGCAAATGAATTACATCTTGAAATCCGTCAGGAGTAGGGAAAGAACAAAGCTTATCCTTCCACAGCAAATCGAATTCGAGACAATATACGCACCTCTTTTTAACCGACTTCCAGAAAAGGAGGAGGTTATCAGTTCGTCGGAATAACTTTGGACCACGTCAACCGATTTCGATAATTCTTTTTGCATCGGAAAGGTAGTGTCTCAGAGGTGGTCCCATATTAATCTGGTTAAGATCCGATCAGTGGATCATGAGATATATATATATATATTTTTTTTTTATATGAGAGTTGAAGCCGGTTTTTTTTGCTAAAAATTACTTGTTAAAAAACAAGTGCAATAATAAAAGCATCTTTTTTATGTAACTTCACATTTTATGTATGTATGTATGTTTGTATGTACCTCTATTAATTTTTTTTACAAAGAATAATTTGTATTCAGTGCATTTCACAGTCTTATTTATAGATAATGAAAACAAAAACGCCTGTGCTTCCTCTTTGAAACCCTCGCGCAATATCCCTTTTGGTTGTCATTATTTGAGTAAATTTTTCGTATTGCCCGTATTACCGCTCGCGAAAACACAGAAATCGAGAAAATTCATTTATGATGACTTTTACAATCATGCACAGTATATTTTACTTAATTTTTTTTATAAAATTTTATTATTTAAACCCATGAAAATAACAATCGAAACGTTCTCCGTCAACAAATTTGCAACTTAGGAAAGCGGAACTACGATCGAAATGTAGAATAGATATGTATAATCGTAAATTTCGAAGATTGATCGAAAGGAAACGGAACGCAGAATACCAAAGTTGCCAAACGGAGAAAATTTCGATTCGGGTCGAAATGCAGAATAGGGCTGTTTGCCACATTTGTCTTTGTAATTAACGACAATCCTCGTAAACTTCTTTATCGACATGTCTAACGAATTCTGTCGTTAAGTGTGTTTTTGAGAATAGCCTATTCGCTACTGCAAGCTACAAACGTCGTTCATTATAAATAACGAATATCGGTCATTAGGAAAAGTGTGAATCGCACTACTGAAATGCAAAAAGACGTAACAACATCGTAATTGAAATGGAAAAAGTCCTAACTAATATTTATTTTTTTTTCATTAAATGATGTAGGAGTTGTAATTCGACGAAATCCATCATATTAATAAAAAACTGAATTTTGAATTTTTTATTAGTTACGACTTTTTGTATTTCAGCGACTATGTTTGTTACGTCTTTTTGCTTTTCAGGCGACGATATATACATAGCACATATGGTGGTAATCGTATTTCAGTTATAATAAACTTTAAAGTAATTAAACAAAATATCTCTATGTGTACGCACATTTGCCTGAGGAGCAATTTAATCAAAGATTGAAACAATTCTACCTCTCAGTAAGAGGAATGGCTCGTAGGTTACGTAAGTTGGGTTTTAACATGTGCAATATTGTTTATACTTCGCCTCAGATGGACAAAATGCAGTCTTTTTTAGTTTGAATTTGAATGCTGCGGTAGGTATCTATTACATATATATGTATGTGTGTATATATCTAATAGGGACAGGTTCGTGTGTGCTTGCTTTTGAAATTGCAAATTGAGACTAATTATGACATTATCGTGATTAAATTTTGGACTGTTATTTTACTACGATATTCAGCATCCCCAACACACATAATTAATAACACGATTGATTATATGAATTTTCGAACTAAGTATTCCAATGCTTAATAAAAAAATTGTTCCCCCTTCTCGCCAACTGACGCCAATTAGAAATACCAAGTGAAGCTAAGTCTCTCCCCACATGATCTTTCCAGTGCAGAAGAAGCCATCCTCTACAATCACCCGTAAGCACCGCAACGA